AAAGTAATGAAGAACAACAAAGAGCATCAGTAAGATAAATAGAGGGAGTGAGGGGAGAGTGCAAGAAACAATAAAGTTAGAATTCTTTAATTTATAAATTGAATATCTTTATGCAGTAGTAGCCATGTATTTAGTGAAGAATCTGCATTGGGTATCGAATCATTAATCGACTGAAATAGTGCAGCTCGTTGCGTGTAATATAAGGAACAATTTAGTATGTAATGCTTAGCACTTTCTTTCTTTACTTTTATCTGATGCTAATCCTTTGATGTAAAAGTCATTATTTAATGACGAAAAATCGCAACACTTCTGATAATAAAGTTTATCAATACTACGTTTTACCCACATAATCAAAAAGCCTTTGTATTACGTATTGATGCTTTGAGCTTTAAGGTAAAAGGTCTTAAAGTGCTATACTAACGCATTTCTTCATTCAATTTATTCCAGTTTTGAATAGCAAACCAGAAGGAAAAAACGCTTTACAGAACCGAATTAGGCACGCTTCCAGGTCAAACAAATCGTATACGATCGCATTTGAATCAGACAAAACCGTACCAAATAGTATGAAACTCATATATGATCTTAGTATCCGATGTGTCCTCTTGATCGTATAAGATCATACAACTTCGTATGAAATCGTACAGTATGAACCAGATAACAAAATCAGACACCACGATTCGTACGTAAGAAGTACGTAGTCGTATATGATTTCGAAATAACAAACTTTAACTAATAAAGAATAAGAATGGAATATAAAATACTTATAATTTTACCTGACACTAGGAGTTTAGCTAAGGCACGATATATAGATGCATGAGCTGAATAATTCTTAGGATATGATGCAAGACAGAATCTAATTTCTTTAGTGGAGTATAATCTTAATTAAAATTTATGTTTATTTTTATCTAAAGAACTCCATTTTATACGGCACCAATTATTTTAACATTATTAAGTAAACTCAATTGCGAATATGGTGTACCAGTAGCCTACGGAGAAAGGTAAAGATCATTTTTTGTTTTATTTTATTATTCCTGCTGTGTGCTTAATCAGGAACACCGCATTGTAAAAAGTAAATTGTTCCGGTAGATGTATCTCAAAAGTACGGTCACTCATGAACAAAACAGTGTGTGTTTTTTTAAGTGTGTAGGCTCTTTGTTCTGCTTAAGTGTGTAAGAGACGAAGTGTGCCCAACATACATTCACGTATGTAAATGAGACACTGTCATCAGTCATTCTAGACTGTCACTCGTAACACTTTCTTTTTTGCAGTGCGATATATCAAACATTGGCGTTATTTCTCTCGACTAGCAGCGATGCTTAATAATGCATTTGCCCAAGTGAGCTAATCGAATCCTGAAGTTACAATAGACTTAAAGCGATTGTAGCGCATCAATAAGCTAATACGCATTACGAACGGTTGGGTCACTGACGATAAGCGTGTTCAAGACTAAAAGCAATTTTTCTGACTTGTTTTACCTGAAGAACTGAGCAGATGCAACGCAAAAGGTATTTTTCTCCGACTTACCCTGCTAAGGGTTAGGACAGCGCAAGAAACTTTTCGTCAGTTTTCATTTTCGATAACCATTTCGAGTCTCGCATGCAGTTCATAAAAATAATCTTGAAGTCTGAGTCCCGACTCACACATCTTCGTTTTTCAAGACTCATTCATTTTTTGAAGTCTGGAATTAATCGCATATCATCTTTTTTTCTCCGATCATCGGGCTAATAAAAAAATGTTTGTCACCCTCACCGCTAATAAAAAAATGTCAGCTTTCTACCACACAGAAGTTCGTGAGATGTTCGGAAACTAGAAAGAAACGGAAATTATTGTTAACAGATGCAAGAAACTGATGTCTTCTAACATAACTGTTTTTTCACGTCTATCTCGTTTCGCTTTTCTGTCCATGCCCACATGAACAGTGAAATAATAGCAAGAAAAACAGACGCCCAAATGTTACTACATCAATAAAAATAGGTAACAAATATACATAGAACAAGGTTTTTATATTTTGCTTCTCTTGCTTGTTTGTTGTTCTAGATGGCCTTTGCGCGATTAGTATATGTATCTTCAGGTATAGACTACGGCAGTTATTAAAGAAAAATAAGAAAAATTACCTTTTTCCTCCAGATACTCATCTACCTTGGAAAATCTACACGTCAATATAGAGACAAGAAAAACGTCTATTGTTGTTCTTCAGATGTGACTGACGAGGATCGACAATGTCTGATAAGTGCAAATAGTCCGTGCCTGTACCACTAATATTGGTTTGAAATTCGACAGCGCCTGGCTATTGGTATCGAGTTTTTCAAACTTCGCAAAATCTCGCGCTCCACTCAGTCGAATCAAGGTGGAAAAAAAAACTATTGATGAAGAAAACTTAACTACTGAAAAAAGAAACTATTGATTAAAATAACCAAGTCACGCTCTGTCCAGTTCAGTCCGTAGTTATTCCTGTCCGATAAACAACTTTAGGACAGAACTAGAACCAGCTGTGATTTCTGAGGCGACAGTACCTGGCAACTTTTGCTATTTAATGTATTCCCGTTTGATCTCTGCACTAAGATCACTGTATGAAAAAAATCGACGGATTCTGTGCGCAGAAAAGACATTATTCTTAGACTGTATACAAGATATTTTTCTTTAATAGATAATTTATCTTTGTAAGGGGAAAAGACATCTCTTCTACATCTGCAGAGTAAGTGAGTGATTGAATATCCACTGTCTAAATAGATTTTCCATTTCTATTCACACATACAAAAGTATTTCACACATTCTTTTGTCGCAACTGTGTTTAAACATCTCGCCGAAAAATATACATATCTGGACTTAATGTAACATTATGCACTAGAAAAAAGTCTGAAACAACGCATAGCTCGAAAAATATTTTTATTATTGTTCTTTACAGAAATGCAAGCGAAAGTAGGAAAAGTGAAAGCCAATATCAAACGAATACCATCTTTGAATTAATAAATATACCATCAATCCCAAGGCTTTCGATACTGGAACACAGAGACAGGATGGTCCAGGTCCGGTCCAGGTCAAATGTCCAGACCTGACCTAGCAAAAGCGGACTTGGACCTGTAAGACGTGAACCTGGAAAAGGGGACCTGGACTTTGACCTGAACCTCTACCTGTGACCTGTCGGCATAAGCAACATATCAGCCATTGACTATATCTAGCAGTGTGAAACTGAATTATTTCATACACAATTTCTCTCCTGTTAGAAATTCTGAGAACAATATGAAAAATCGTAATAACCTTATTGCCTAAAGACATTTTTGTTCAAAATATCTATCACCTGCTTCTCATATATTCTAAGAACTGTTCTTAAACTCTAGTACAGGATATTGTAAATTCGCACTATCAGAATTTTTTCATGCAACGGACCCAGCGTCCAGGTCACAAGTTCGGGTCATAGGTCCAGGTTCAGGTCAGGTCCAAGTCCAGGTCTATTTTTTTCAGGTGCAGGTCCACAGGTCCAGGTTCAACTTTATAGGTCTGGACCAGACCCGAGGCAAAATTGTTCATTAGATCGAATAACAATAAGCCACCTTACAGTTAAACTTTCTAGTTTATCCTACAAGTTTTGACCTTGACCCGCTACAGGTCACAGGTCAAGGTCTAGGTATCCTGTCTCTGCTGGAACATATCTAAGTGCGAACATGGCGGAGACAGTAAGAAGAGGTGAACACCCACATACTGCTTGACATTCTATATCCGTAAAAATATAAACTATTGCTTCAAAGCATTTTTCAATAATGATGATACATGCTGTATTTGGTATTTGTTAGCCAGTAATTAAAAACAAATTATGTTTTCATTTCAGAAACTGAAAAGAAGTATTTTGCGACCAAGCATCCAACTATCAGACACAAGTGTTTCTGTAGTTAACGTTAGTCGTCCACAACTCCTTCCATGACAATTTCATTCGGAGAATTGTATTGTTTAATTTGTTTCTAGTACTCCATCATTGTTAATACCTGGTTACACGGTGCCAATAACGCTGATTAATAATGTAAATAAATATTTTCAATGTCTTAACGCAACAATTGATCCCAGTGTACAACCGTCACCATTTGATGCTGTTGAATTAATAACATATATTTTAAAAGACTCCAACCAGCCGGTTGATATTCTTGTGCTTGCATCATTTACAAATATAGCTGAAGCGATTATTCGTGATCGCACAATTGTATCAAAAATTGGTACTCTTTATTTTTCATGTAAGTTATTTGCTTTGATGTAGTAATCAGAAACAATTTCAGTAGTTTTTCATATACAGCTGATACTGACCTGCAACGTCGTCGTATTAAGAAGTTTCTACTACCACAAATATTTGATGCATCTGGTATACTGGTAGATGATGTTAGTCCCAATGTATGGCTTGATATACTTGCTGCACAGCGTGTATTTGCAGCTGGTATACGACATATTGTTATCATGCCAATAGCAACACAGAAGGCTTTACCATTGGAGTTATCCATATAACCAGTCCGATCTTGGGTGATCACGTAGTGGAACTACGGGAACTGAAGAAAATATTTTACCAGAAAGACAAAGCTTCTTTTAATCAACACCAAATACCATTAACGCAGTCGGCTCTTCAAATTGTATCGAATAATACATAAGATAAATAAGGAGAGGATCTCCACCCGAAAACTTATCGAATTCAAATAAACAGGTGATATTCGGAATCAGCTCAGTCAGGGCTATCGGAATATGTAGCTTCTAACCGAAAACTAAGATAGTGCTCGATTTTTGAATTGCGCGCACCTTACTTTTTGGTAAAATAATCTCACGAAAAATTCCAGCTTTCAAGATGCTTTTTTCCAGATTGTTTTTAAAGTAGTTATAGCATAAAAACAAGATACCATTCAAATGGCTGAACAAATATAGTGTGCTGCTCATATCACAAGCTTAAACCACACATGGATGGAAAATTGAAGCATAAGTGAACATCCGGAAATTTTTGGAAGAAAGAATTAATTTCTGTTTTTCGTCAGATTTCAAAACATACATGCAGAAGTTGGAAATTCTTTTCCACTGGACGGTTCAATCTTCGCCGGTAATATCCACGGTGGATATTCACGCGAACATTCAACAAGAAAATAAAACTGCTCTTCGGTACTTTCGTTTATATAACAATAAAGTACAAATTCACCTATTCCTATAAATAAAAGCTTTTTATTCCAATCGATAGAAAATGATATGAATACTAGAATTTAACTTTTTTTTCACGAATTAATTAAATCAAATCGAGGATAAAGGTTTAAAGGTTGATGCTTTTGTTGCATTTCTAATAAAGATGGAACTGGATTCCATATTCATATGTCATTTTATTGAGAAAAGGTTGTTTTGCGTGCTCACAATGCTCGAAAATAATGTCGTCAGTGCATTGAGTTTGTCTCTTTTTCACAGCTCTTATACTGCCTCAAATCTTGCACAAATATTCTTCTGTGTCTGTTACATCTATGAACTTAGGATAAATCTCTCTGGACCATACAATAGATTTTCGAAAAAAATCTATTTTTGTATTGTGTTCTCAACTCGTAAAGTATTTTTAATCAAAACCAATACACTATTTAGGATCAGCTCAATTAGCTCATCCAAACATGGATAAACATGGATAACATCCTTTCTCTGGATGAAAACGTTTTTCTTCGAAATTTTTAACACTAAGATCACCCTTTAGGTAATTCATTTTTGAAAAAGAGTTTCTGATTAGAATTTTTTCGCGTGCAGTCTGCCATCAACAATAACAGCGACGAAGCAAGTGTTTGTTTGTCCGTATGATGAGCAAAAAATCTTCACTATGTGATGGAGCGGTATAGAAACACAATGTTTCCAGCGGATATCTTAAATGGATTGCTGCATATAATACAACGCAAGTACAAGCCATCTTACAAGACAAAAATATACATTTGAAACCATTTGTTTATAAATTAGTCATGAGTTTTGCTACATGTTTGAATGAACCGGAATCGGCGTTACGTTGGTGGGATAATAGTGCTGCACAATTGATGGTACAATTACAACAAAATAATACTAAACATGGATTTTGTACAAAATTTCTTTCAAATCAGCATCTAGAATTCATTCTGTCTCCATTTGCTGGACAAAATTTTGGCTCTGAAGTTATCGATAATAAAAATCACTTGACAAATGTTCAAATATGTACAAAGGCAAATGATCAAATATTTTTAGAAACATTTCTTACAACAATTTCTGCGAAACATTCATGTCAATATTCAAATAAGTATAATGAAGCGCTTATACGCTAAAGATATCCAGCGGACCAATCCAAGAGCAATTGTTTAAGATATGAAGAGATTTACCCAGATGGTTGTAGTTGTATGTTTCTCATCGATATGATATTGTGTTACAAAAAAAGCTATTGAAAAAGTAAAACAACTAAATTTATATTAGAAATCACAAGATTATGTACAAAACATTAGACTTAAAAGTAACTGTTATTCGTTGATATGGTTTGTCACAATAAGAACTGTAACTTTGTATCTTTTTTGGCATATGGATAAAATTTATATTGTTCATTTTTCTCCTTCTCCTTAGTCATACTTTGAGAAAATCATTATAAGCGAAAATGTACAAGATGAAACAGATTCATGAACCATCATCTGACTTGTCTTTTCCAGACTTCTAACTTCTAGGGTTTCAGTACAACATCACTAAACAGACACGTCGAGTAAAAAACATATTCTAAAAAATATATGATGTGAGGCAGAGTAAATCGCCGAGTTTATCGAAAAGTCGAACTTGTTTTGTAGTGAGAAACGATGAAGAATCACACAAAATTTGTTTTTCTCAGCGCTAGTTACTAATCAAGGCATGAGGAGTTCCAATGGCTATTTTGTCCGTTACTAGAGTAAACTGAGGCAGTTGGAAACGGCGTCTTGCTCTTCGGACTTCTAATTCGTATAAATTTGTTCATTTAATTATCCGTTTGCGCCCTTTTTAGAGGCAGGTAAAGGAGAAAGTTCTCTATAGTCTATCTAAATTTTCAAAAACTCCATGTCTCAAGCGAACTTCCCGGTGTTTTACTGAAAGCTCTAACGAACATTTCCATTTGCCCCACTTGGGGCAATGGGAAACAGCAACAGAAATTGATGGGGTAATTGGATACGCCATGTATTTTACACCGGAAATAATTCATTAGTAAAAAACTGTGTTCTCGTTGAGGTAAGACTAATGATGAATACGTGGTAGTACCAGTTTCAAGGCCGGTTATAAGAGGGCATCGATAGAAACGTTTCAATTCGCGTTGTCATATTGGTCGAAAACTACTTTACAAATAGAGGATGCTGTTCGATGTACAGGGTGTCCCAGAAATAGTCTATCAAAACAAAATTGTATATTTCTGCCGTTTCTTGACCAAATTCGAAAGTTTTTGTTATTTGAAAGAGAAATGTTCCAAGTTTTACTTTTAAGTAATATTAAAATATGATTGAAACTTTTTGTTGATGGTTGAAAAAATGTCTGAGTTTATTATGGTGAAACTCAGATTTTTTGGAACACTTTCTTAATATATTATATACTGCAAAACGTTATGAATGAAACAGAAATGATTCTTGATAACAAAATAAAGTAGACGATGTCTGCTGTCACATAACAAGATAATTATATGCTTTTGTTCAAAAATGACTGGATAGTGTAGATTTCTCTAGCCATAGTTGTAATAATCTTTTATTCAGAACGATTTATATCCAAGGAGGAAATAGCGGACTCGTGGACTTTAGAAATCTATGGGAGTCCCATGGAATCCTAAGGAGTATGAGCAGGTCGAAGTGCTCGGAGTGCCCGGGATGGCTTGGAGTGGTTCGGATTCTTGTGTTTCTGCTCCTTTTTTCTCTAATGCTTATAACATGTTATTAATGTGATATATTTGTTCAGTTATTAACATTAAAGTTAACCTAATATTACTATAAAATAAACTAAAGTTATATGAGCTACTGAAGAATACGCCACTATAATTTTTATATCTTTAACAACCAAAATAATAAATGTACTTATCAAAACCCCTAAAGATAATTAACTAATAAAAACATATAGTTAATATACTTTACTATATACAAAGCATCAATACCACCCATTTTAAGTAAAACCCTAGCTAAAATAATAGAACCTATAGTAGAATTTCTACATGTGCTACAGGCAATCAATAATGAAAACCAAAAGCAGGAAACTTAATAATAAAGAAAATACCAAAAACCTTTAATAAAATATCCAAATTTATTCAACTTATAATAAAAAACGAATTATCAACTATAATTAATATAAATAAACTAGGTCTCGAAAATAAAAAAGAATAAAATAATATTAAATACCCAGCTATCAATCGCTCTAAACTATACCCTAATAATAAAATAGAAAACATAATTAGAGTACACAAAAGCTCAAATATTAAATAAAAAACTAACATATTATTTACTATAATTATTCCAACTAAGCTAATAAAAAGAGCCAATACCCTAAACCAATTATTTATATAATCATAAACAATAAAACGTAATAACAAAAAAACAAGAAATACTAAAAACCAAGAACCCATCTCTAATTTAAACAAACCTGAATACTCTTCATAAAAATACAAATAATTTAAAGACACATAAATTACTAATAAAGATAACAAAAAAGAGTAATTAAAATAAAACAAACTTATTAATAACATAAAAATTATAATAGTATAAAACTTTTTTTAACTAAATCAAAATTAAAGGTAATATAAACTACAAATAATAAAAAACCAACGACAGACTCACAAACCAAAAAAACTAACCTCAAACAAAAAATTCATATAAACATATAAACTATAATATTCATATAAACTTTCTAGTTTATACAGGAAGGAAAACCGCTACGGCTACAACCCTAGTTGTAAGGTAGTTTAGAGTAGGATATTACTGTAAATTTTCAAAATTTAAGATTGATCTATAAATGTAAGCTAATAAGCTGTAGTATTCATATCCCTTATATTTAATTTATATTGTATGATTATTTTACTATACTATACAAAGAAATATAAATTATTTTATTTTATTTTGGTAAATAGCGTGTCAGCATCCGTGGTTATACGAATAATATTATTAGTTTACATTTTTATATTTATTATTGAATTTTAGGTGAAATTTAGTTTTTTTTAATTATTAATTTTTAGATGAGCATGATTAGAAATCCTGTTAATTAAATAAGTAGAAGTAATTAAAAATTTTTATAATTGGGGGTTTAAATTAAATAAAGAAACTTGTATCTTAATTAGATTTCCCACTAATATTATAACTGAAAATGTTTAATTTTGTATGTTTGATGAGTAAGAGTTAAATTACAATGATTCAGATACACAAAAATTATTTTTAGGGTGCATAAGTTGCAATTTATATATTACTGACTTTAAAGAAAGATGAATTTATTAGTAAAATATAGTTATTTGAATTATTTTTTAAAAGTACATATCGCCCGTCAGCTTTATTATAAAGTAAGTCGTAACATAGTGTATAAACTAGAAAGTTTATATGAATATTAACTTGATTAGGGGGTTGTTTAGTTGAATGACCGTATGATATGTTGGGTAAGATTGTAAGTATTCTATATTTTGTTCTTATTATTTATTAGTTAAATTATTTTATTTTGAAGATAACTATTTTTATTAACTTGTGTTATTAATAGTAATTTTTTGGTTCATCATACTGATACTGAACTACACTATAACGACATCTAACGACATAGCTTTTCACGTTGACAGTTGAGAGCGTCAACTGACGAGATGCAGTTGACAGTTCAGAACGCCAACTAATGCGACACCATTGACAGTTCAGAACGTCAACTGATGAAGTAGCGTTGACAGTTCAGAACGTCAACAGCAAAACCGTTTCCGTTCCCATTTAAAATTTTGCCAAACCAACGTGAACGGCTACAGCCCTACTTACAACGAAAAAGATATATGCTAAACACTAGAAAAATATATAACATTAAACTTGATTTCTTCAAAATCACACTTTAAAGCTTACATTATAAATAGCAAAAATAAAATAAAACCCACCAATTTAATATATATAAAGATTTAAAACTATTAAAAAAACTCACAAAACTAGAAGTAATCCTATAAAAATTTAAATAGATAAAACTCTCAGTCTCATAAAAAATTTTAATTACAATTAACATTTGATCTGACAGTAAAAAATTTAATAAGTAAACAGGTCATAATAGCTTAAAAACTTGAACTAACAATAAAGTTATGCTACAAAAATAATAAAAAATACTAAAAACTCAAATCTAAAAATCTTATAAGTTAACATTAAAAAATTACTAATATGATAATTTACAAAAACAACTATAACTAAAACACTTGAAAATAAACTTAAAGAATAAATATTTAAATTAAAATAAGAACATTCATTAGAAGAGTACAAAAATAATAATTTTAAAGAATAGTAAACTCTAGCCCCTAATATTAACAATAAAAAAAAAGACTCCAGCATAGATATACTTCCTTTCAAGAAATTTTCAATAATAAAATCTTTAGAAAAAAAACCAACCAAAAAAGGTAACCCTGAAAGACTAAAACAAGAACAATAATAAAGAACCTTAAAAATCCTAAGAAATACTTAGTTTGGAAAAACTGATCTATCCACTCAAAGTCTTTAAGTTTCTCAGGAACAGGAAACCGACAATCAGCCTCGACTATAGAAGGAAGGGGCTTTATTCCATCCGAAGTAACAAGGTGATCTAGGTATTTGAACTCGTAACAATAAAAATGGAAAAATGCCACCTGTTGGTGGTGTGCTTCTTGAAAATGTTTTGCAATAGATTTTCCACCACTAAAATAGTTTCTTCTACATGGTTCTTTACATGGAATGCAAGCTATTTCTTCTATACTTGAACTTTTTGCAGTTTATGTCTGCATTTTTTGACTTTTTCAACGTACAGCTTTTGATATCTGTGGTAATGATATTAGTGTCTGAGCGCAGTGGTAGCAACCAGCATTGTCCGATCTGATATAGGCTTCTTTGATTTGAGGATCATTTGATTTAGCTCTTTTCAATATATCTTGTAAGGTGCGGGCAGTTCAAAATTCAAGTAAAATTTTTTTCAGCTTTGTTTCTGCATCACCTGATAGAGCTTGAGCTGCTGATCACGAAAATCTACTTTTTAGCCTTAGTCAATGCTTCCTTCCGGTCGAAAAATACGAAATACTCGGAGGATGTCGTTTTCTTCAAAA